AGGAAAGGGAAGAGGAGGAGGAGGAAGAGGAGGAGAAGGAGGAGGAGGAGGAACAGGACCAAAAACGGACAACAGGAGGAGGAGGAGGAGGAGGACCAGAGCAAACCCAAGAGTCATCAACGATGATGGAATAATCCCTCTCTCCAAGCTCCCTCTTCGTAGGCTCCATACAAGGTTCCACTGAGGGAACTGCTTCGTTGGAAGACATCCGTTTGAAGACCCTGACGCATGCGAAAACATCGTTCTCGGGATTCCAACGCCACGAATCAACCTGACTGTTGTGTCTTGACGATCCCATATCGTACCAGAACGCCCTTCTTGGAACTTCAACGCCGCGAATCAAAGTAACTGTTGCCCCCTCATAACCCTGAATCCTTTCATGGCGCGATTTCTGGTACGCTGATCATGGGAATTCGCGGAACTCTTGCATTTGTTGAAAACGAGCGCGGCGCTGAGGCGAGAGCCACATTTTGAGAATGGCCGCCCTCAATCCGTGAAGCTCTTGCAGTGTTTTGCAACGAATGTGCGCCGCCCTCCATTTGTTAAACTGATGTCAAGTTTTGAGCTTCAGGGTCATCAATGGTGAGGAAGTCTCAGGCGAAATGCCCGGACCGCCCTAAACACTAGCCTCGGGGTGCGACACGGAGAAGTTATGAATAAGAAAATCGGATGGAGGTGGAGGAGGAGAAACAGGAGGAGGATGAGGAGGAGGGGGAGGTGGAGGGGGAGGAGGGAGGAGGGAGGAGGAGGGGAGGAGGGAGGGAGGAGGGAGGAGGGAGGAGGAGGGAGGGGGGAGGAGGTGGTGGAGGAGGAGGAGGAGGAGGAGGGGAGGAGGAGGAGGAGGAGGAGGAGGAGGAGGAGGAGGAGGAGGAGGAGGAGGAGGAGGAGGAGGAGGAGGAGGAGGAGGAGGAGGAGGAAGAGGTGGAGGAGGTGGTGGAGGGGGGGCGGGGAGGGGGGGGGAGGGGGGAAGGGAGGGGGGGGGGGAGGGAGGGAGGGAGGGAGAAAGGGGGAGGGAGGGAGGGAGGGAGGGAGGGAGGGAGGGAGGGAGGGAGGGAGGGAGGGGAGGGAGGGAGGGAGGAGGAGGAGGAGGGGAGGAGGAGGAGGAGGAGGAGGAGGAGGAGAGGAGGAGGAGGAGGAGGAGGAGAGAGGGAGGAGGAGGAAGAGGAGGAGGAGGAGAGGAGGAGGCCTCCCCCCTCCGCCCCCCCCCCCCCCCCCCAAGGAGCAGCTGCACGCGCTCAAGGCCCGCGCCGAGCAGGCGAGGCTGCTGAAGGGGCCACGGGGCCCCGTCGTCCTGGGGTGCCTGCCCCTGGAGCGAGTCAAAGGGAACACGTTCACGCCCGCCCCGCCCTCTACCCCCCCCCCCTCCCAGGACGGAAGGAGCCTCCTCCTCGAGCCTCCGTCCCCGAACCTCCCCCTCGTCCTTTGTCCCTCTCTCCTCCGTCTCCTGCGTCTCCTCGTCCTTCTCCTGCCCTTCGTCTGCAGGAGTGGATTTGCGCCCGGCCCTGCCCCGCCCGTGATCGATAGCGTTGTCTCGGCGCTCAGTTGGATGCATGTTTGGCGATCCTCCGCGGTCTCTTCTGTGGGCCAATGCGCAATGCAGTGCGCCGTGTTCGACTTACGTGCAAGGGTTCGGAGCAGTGCGGTCGGGAGGGCCCGGCGCTTTTGGCGCAACTGGCTTCAAGGAGCTGTTGCGCGGTCGCGCCCTGTGCTGTGCGATTCAGAGGTGGCGACGGATTCGATGGTGCCCTTCCAGCGCGGCCTGGCATCGCTCCCAAAGCCGGCCAGCGGTCTTTTTGCTTTGTCAAAGATGTGCGCGGTGTTAGTGGTCACTTCTTCCTGGAAAAGGGGGGATGGTGCATATCGAGGAGGCGACGAGGTCCAGGAGGACCTTATCCGCTGTGGGGTTAAGTGCTACAGCGTTCCACCATTGACGAGACGATGCGACCTCCACGAAATTTTGGAGGGCCTGTGAGCCGAGAGCTCCTCGACTTCGTCGTTGTTGTAAAGGGAGTCGAGCGCGTCGTCTCATTCTGCGCGTGGAAGACTTGTCGATCGAGCCACATCACAGGATGATCATGGATGCTAGGCGTTCGGCCGCAAACTTCAGGCGGCCGCCGCTCGTAAACCTGGTGACGTTCGAAGGCCTGGCTAGCTTGGAGTGGGGCTTGGAAGCCAGCGAGCTGGAGGCTGGATGGGGCTCAAAGCATTTGCCGCGCTAGAACTTCGGGCCGGAACCGCGGGGTCGCCGATCTGGGCGCCTTCCGCCAGCTCCTCATGCCGCCGTGGCCTCGACCCCGCTTCTGCTTTCCGCCAGCCAAGGCCTGGCTGTTTAGGTTCGCGGATGGGGCGAACAGTGTGAAGCGATGGTTCGCGGGCGCGGGGCGAGCGCCCTCTCCCGGGCCCCGCGCTCCTTGGCGAGCGGGGGGGGGGCGCCGCGCGCTTGTTCAACGGCGCGATCGAGGCGACGCGCGCCCGAGCTGTGGGTGCGAGGCGTCGCGCAGGTCGTCCTGCCCGCCTGGGCGAGCGCTCGAGGGGGCGCGCGCGCCGCCTTGGCCGGCACGCGCGTTCAGGGACTTCACGTTCTCAGCGAGCTCCTCTCCCCTTCCGCGCGCTTCGTCTCCCCCCTGGTGCTCGCCGCGCCCATTTCGGCCCTGTTGCATCCCGCGGCTGCCCCCGAGCGCGGTGGGGGCCCGCGCTGTTGCTGACCGGCGTGCGTGCGCCGCCTGGGTTGGGAGTGGCGCCGCTCGCGCTCGGCCGTCTCCGCGCCCCGCCATCGGCGAGGGCCTCCGCGGCGTGGCTTCTGCGCGCCCACCCGCTGTTTCTTTTGGGCCTCTCGGCGCGGGGTGTTCGCGTTGGGCGCTCGGCGACGGGCGGCTCAGGCTGGCGCCGGAGCTCTTCGTCGGCTCGGGGTTTGCAGCTTCGCGTGCCCGAGACGAGCGCCGCGCCCGTCGTCGCGGTGCGACGCGCCGGGCCGATCGGCGCCCGCCCAAGGCGATCGACGGCGAGGTATTTGGGCATCGGGAACGATTTCCAGTGCCAGTGGCTTTTTCCTCATTGTGGGTGATAAGATGGCCGCAAAAGTTTGTCGACTCGGGCCGGGCGCGTTCCTGGCGGATCGGGGTCGCCCTGCGCTGCTGACGTCCGCCAGAGGGGAACAGCGCCGCCCGTGCGTCAACGTGAACAACATGTGTGTTTAGGGGATGGGTCGCGGTCCGGCGAAGGAGACGTCGGGCGAGGTCATGGAGCCTTTCGCGAAGAATGGGCTGCCGGTGCGTGAGCAGTGGATCGCCGAGGGCGAGGTCGAGGTGTTGGGTGCGATCCAGAGCGGCAGGCGTCTCCGCAACCGGGCAATTCGACTCGTCCGATGTGGGCATGCTTAGCCGTCGACTCCCTGCTGGCGCGCGGCGAGTGCGCCGGCGCCATTGTGGGGGTTGTCCTAGGGCTCGCCTCCTTCCTGGGCTTGTTGCGGCGGCCGTTTGGTGGTGCGGAGGCTCCGCGTCGAATTGCCCCTTGCGCTGTTCAAGGAGCTTGGCCAGAAGCTGGGCTCCTTTGGGAAGGTCCTCCCGGCTTGAAGGCCGTCTTGGTAGGGGCCTCGAGGGCGCCAGGACGGAACCAAAAAGAGCTTCGTGGTGTTCGTTTTGAAGGGCGCTCAAAACGAACAGAGCGCAGCCTCTCGCGGGGCCTTCCTACGCCTCTGTCGGGGCTCTCTTCGAAGTTCATGAGATCTTCATGGCCCCGTGGCAGCCCTTCGTGGCCCTTTCGCTGCCCTTCGTGTCCCCGGTGCCGCCCTTCGTTGCCTACTGCCCTTCGTGGCCCTGCTGTCGTTCTCTCTCGCTCTCGCTTTCGCTCGTCGTCGCCGTCGTCGTCGTCGTCGCCGTCGTCTTCGACGTCGTCGTCGTCGTCTCGTCGTTGTCGTCGTCGTCGTCGTCGTCGTCGTGGTCGGTCCCCTGTCCGTCCCTCTTGGGGTCGGGTCGACGGTTCGCGGCCGCCCCGCCGATCAGCGCTGCCGCTGGCAAGGCCGACGGTCCGCGGCCGCCCCGCCGCTTGCCGGGGCACGGCCTGCAGGGAAGACAGGTATACCACCCAAAAGGGGTTCGATCGAAGACGAAGAGGGCGGGTATCGAGGGTTTGGGAAATACGCGTTATTGGACATCGAGCATATAAGGGCGAACAGTCTTAAAATTATTGTTGTTGCTGTTGTTGTTGCTGTTGTTGTTTTTGAATTCTCACTACCGAAGAATTATTTTTGACCCCCCCTCCGGTGACCATTGTGTTTTTCAATTGAAGTGCGTTCCCCAAGGCTCGCACCCGCACCCGGTTTTTTTAGGGAAATCCGTAGGCTCAAACTGCGCCCGTGGCGTTCGGATTACAGCAATAATAACAGCATTAACGGCTCCCGCTTGAGATTTCCTTACAATTTAGCCAGGATCCCGCTCCCGTCTGACATTCCCGCGCATTTTACGAAGATATCGCGCTCTCGCTTGGGACTTCCTTACAATTTATTAAGGAATCGCTTTCTCGGCGCTCTGGAGTCGCGCTCTCGCCCGGGACTTGCTTGTAATTTACTCAAGAAACGCGCTTTTGCGTTGGAATTCCCAGCAATTTACCCAAGCGCCGCGCTCCCGACACTCAGGTTCCCAGGAGTCGCGCTCACGCCTGGGACTCCCTCATTCCCTCACAGCTTATTTCGGAATCGGGATCTCGATGCTTTTCGTGGCCCCGTTGCAGCCTTTCGTGGCCCCCTCGCAGCCTTTCGTGGCCCCCGTTGCAGCCTTTCGCTGCCCCGTTGCAACCCTTCGTGGCCCCCCCCGCTGCCCTTCGTGGCCCCGTTGCAGCCCCTCGTTGCCCCTTCGCTGCCCTTCGTGGCCCCGTTGCAGCCCTTCGTGGCCCTTTCGCTGCCCTTCGTGGCCCCGTTGCAGCCCTTCGTGGCCCCCCTCGCTGCCCTTCGTGGACCGGTTGCAGCCCTTCGTGGCCCTCTCGCTGCCCTTCGTGGCCCCCTCGCTGCCTGTCATGGCCCCCGCTGCAGCCCTCCGTGGCCCCGTTGCAACCCTTCGTGGCCCCCTCGTTGCTCTCCATGGCCCCGTTGCAGCCTTTCGTGGCCCCCTCGCTGCCTTTCGTGGCCCCGTCGCAGCCCTTCGTGGCCCCCTCGCTGCCCTTCGTGGCCCCCTCGCTGCCTTTCGTGGCCCCCGTTGCAGCCCGTCGTGGCCCCGCTGCAGCCCTTCGTGGCCCCGTTGCAGCCCTTCGTGGCCCCTTCGCTGCCCTTCGTGGCCCCCGTTGCAGCTTTTCGTGGCCCCCGTTGCAGCCCTTCGTTGCCCCTTCGCTGCCCTTCGTGGCCCCGTTGCAGCCCTTCGTGGCCCCTTCGCTGCCCTTCGTGGTCCCGTTGCAGCCCTTCGTGGCCCGCTCGCTGCCATTCGTGGCCCCATAGATTTGTGCCGCTCGTGACCCCGCTCGTTCGCGCCCGTCGTGGCCCCAAATGCATCCGCTTCTTGGCCCCGCTGTTGCCCGTCGAGGCCCCCTCGCTGCCCTTTGTGGCCCGTTGCTGCCCTCAGTGGCCCCGTCCTTGCACTCTGCAGTCCAATATACGTATGCCCTTCGTGGCTCCCGTTCTCGCCCGTCGTGACCCCATATGACTGCCCTTCGTGGCCCCGCTGTCGCCCTCTGTAGGATGGTGAGCAAGGCAGAGTATTTTTTCCTGTCCAGGGTGCAGATTAGGGATCTGAGGAAGGATGTGGACGAGCGCGCTGAATGTGACAATGATGAGAAAGAGGACGATGCTGAAAGTGGTGGGCAGCATGCGGATGATAATGACCGCGATGGTGAACATGAAGGTGGAGATGATGAGTATGACAATGGGGTTGACAGTTCCGTTGGTTACGACTGTGATGGTGAGACGAAACAGGAGGAAGAGGAGGAGGAGGAGGAAAAGGAGGAGGAAGAGGAGCAGGAGGAGCAGGAGCAGGAAGTGGAGGAGGAGGAGGAGGAGGAGGAAGAGGAGGAGGAGGAGGAGGAGAGGGAGGAGGAGGAGGAGGAGGAGGAGGAGGAGGGGCAGGAAGAGGAGGGCGGAGGCCGGGAAGAGGGATGAAGAGGAGGGAGAAGGATGGATGGGGATGAGGAGAGGAGGAAGGAACTGGAGTGGTAGGGCGGGGCTGGCGTGCCACTTGCTCCTCCCGAGGAGCCTGCGGTGGCCGTGTACACGGCCAGCCGCGCAGTCCTCGCCACCGTCGCCACGGCGCCCTGGGGGCCAGGGGAAGTCGCGGGGGTGTCGTGAGTCGGCCTTCCCATCCTCGTCTTCCCTCCTGAAGAGGAGGAGGATGAGGAGGAGGAGGAGGAGGAGGAGGAGGAGGAGGAGGAGGAGGAGGAGGAGGAGGAGGAGGAGGAGGAGGAGGAGGAGGAGGAGGAGGAGGAGGAGGAGGAGGAGGAGGAGGAGGAGGAGGAGGAGGAGGAGGGAGGAGGAGGAGGAGAGGAGGAGGAGGAGGAGGAGGAGGGGAGGAGGAGGGAGGAGGAGATCGAAGGAGGAGGAGGAGGAGGATGAGGAGGAGGAGGAGGAGGAGGAGGAGGAGGAGGAGGAGGAAGAAGTGGAGGAGGCGACGGAGGAATTTCAGGAGAAAGCTGTGGAAAAACGTCGGCACTGAACAGATCAATTCGCCTGGGTGTTTCCTCATGCTCTCCCATTCTTCCACACGGGAGGAAAAGGGAGAGACAGAGAGAATGCGTGCATTTGCGAGGTGCGTCGGCAAAATAGCGCACCGACTATCGCGCACTTCAGTGGCATCGCTAGCCCGCGCGCGCGCTGCCAGTCGCACCCCCGTGAAAGAGGGAGACGTCAGGCAAAAATAGCCACGACAAAATTACGCCCGCCCCCGTGGCGGGCCGTAACCCCGTCACCCCGCGTGGCTCCAGCCGCCCCCGAGGCGTGGATGCTGCTCACGCAGACGAGCGCCGGGGCCATGGTCGGCCTCAGCACCGTGCCGGAGATGCGCTGGCTGGAGCTCGCCGTGCACGCCGTGTCCGCCGTCTGCGCAGCAGCAGGCGGCGGCAATGACGATTGCGGCGGCGGCGGCGACGACGGCTGCGGCGACCATTGCGGCGGCTGCACAGCGACGACGGCGGCAACGGCGGCGGCGACGGCAGCGGCGGCAACGACGGCGGCGGCGGCGGCGACGGCTGCGTGGGCTGAAGCAGCCGCGGCGGCGGCAGGATGAGCAGGGGGAAACGGCGGGGGGACTTTTTGAAGGCCCTCGGAGGTCGGAGCCAATTCTGGTAGCTGCAGCCTCCCGCCGCACCCTCCCCTACTTCCCCTCCTCCTACCCCTTGTTCCCCTCCTCCTCCTCCTCCTCATCCTCCTCTGGAAGGGGCGGAGGGAAGGGGAGGCAAGGGGAGGAGAAGAGGGGGGGGACGGGAGGGAGGGGGAGGAGTGGAGCAATGAGGGAGGGAGGGCAGGGATGGGAGGGGGGGGCGTGTAGGGGATGGGGGAAGGGGAAGAGCGGAGGAGGGCAGGGCGGTGAGGGATTGGCAGAAAGGGGGGGAGGAGTGGAAGAGGGGGGACGGGAGGACAAGGAGAGGAGGAGCAGAGTTGGGACAGGCATCGCGGGAATTCTCGAGCACCGTGGTGGTCGACACAGCATCTTGGACGCAGCATACGATGCGTCTGGGAATGGCGACATAGTGTTGGAGGAGGCGCTGGATGCCGTGTCTGACCAGAAGGAGGCTACCGAGTGGCTTGCATCGCTGAAGCGAGGCTCGAATAACAAATGACACCCTTGCGGCAGAATATTCTAAACAGCTCTCCACAGGGGCCCAGCGCGCCACCTCCTGGCCCGTATCACCACTTATTTTACTTACTAGCATTTCAAATATTTGGAACGAATCATACTAGCACTATCGAAGACGCCTACGGCGAATCGCCGCCCCCTGTCTTTCAGGATACGCCTACGTGGCCAAACGTTTGGGCAAAGTTTGGCCACGCTATTGGACCATACGTTCCACCAGCCGTTGTGGAAGCCCTTCGGGGAAGACGTGGGGGAGGAAGAGGAGGATAAGGAGAAGAAGGGACAATGATGATGAGGAGAAGGATGATGAGACCTCTTGGGGCTTCCTGAGGGGGCCTCTTGGAGGTCTCTTGGGGGGCTCCTTGGCCCTCTTGGGGGCCTCCTTGGGCCTCCTGGAGGCCTTTGGATGCTTCTTGGGGGCCTCTTCGGCCATCTTACGGCGTTCCTGCCGTCAGAAGCCGTCTTGCAAGCCTCTTCGGGCCGTCTTGGGGCTCTCTTGGGGCGCTTCAGGGCCGTCTTGAAGACCATCTTGGGCGTCTTGGAGGCCTCTTGGGCCGTCTTCGGGCCCTTTTGGGGTCGACTTGGGAGGCTCTTGGCCCGTCCCTTTTGCAGGCCTCTTGGACGATCCTGGGGCAATCTTGGGAGCCTCTTGGGTCGTCTTGGGCCGACGGGGGGCCGCTTTGAACCAAATGCCCGCATCCGTCCACAAACCATGGATTTTGGCATCTCGGCCTTTCTGGAGTACCTCTTGGATGCCTCTTGGGCCGTCTTAGGGGCTTCTTTGGTGCCCTTTGGGCCATCTTGAGGCCATCTTGAGAGGCCGTCTGAGGTGTATCTTGGATCGTCTCGGAGACATCTTGGGCCATCTTGGAGGTATCTTGGAGGTCATTTGGAGGTCATCTTGAGCCATCTTGGCCGTCTTGGAAGCATCTCGGATTCCATTTTGTGCCAACTTGGGCGAGAAAGGCATTGACATGTACATTTTCCTGGTTGTCGGTGCGCTGTGCCGGAACCCCAGGGGGAGTTTAAAAAACCAACAACCATCATATTCTTAGCACGCCAGGCACCCCTGTGATACATCAAAGGGGGCGGCGGATTTAATGACCATCGGGCCATCCCGCCACCGTGCCTGGGTTGTGGGTCTGAGGTCTCTTGGATGGTCGTTGGGATCTCGTCAAGGCCTCTCGGGGGCCTCCTGGAGGCAGTTTTGGGGCCTCTTGGGGGCTGTTTTGGGGCCTCTTGGGACCTCTTTTGGCCCTCTTCTGGGCCTCTTGGGGCCTAGTGGGGGCCTCTTGAGGGTCTTTTGGGGTTTCTCTGGGCGGAACGCCCGGGTTCGTGTTCGCCCTCTTAGGCCCCTCTTGGGGCCGTCTTGGGGTCCTCTTGGGCCGTCTTGGCCCGAGAGGACCCCAATGCAAATTACTAATACTCGTACGGCTCTTACTCGTACGGATAGGAGCATATAGCGAACACGATAACGATGCTCAATCTTTTAATGATAGTACTCATCATACGCATGCAAGCGATAATCATGCGACGGGAGGCCATAGGAGACCACGGGAGACTACGGGAGACCACGGGAGACCAAGGCGCCCGACCACTCTAGATCTTGCGATCCACGTATTCGCTTTCTTAAGGTGTATAGGACCCTGACAGACACAGGAGTTGAAAGCGAGCAGAATAAGCTGCTCATATCCATGCTGACTTTTTGTCGGCGATGGCCCCCCGTGGCTTTCGTGCGCGCCAGGGACACGGGGCTCCAGTGGCGATCCAAGAAGATCGCCCGGACCTCCGAACATGTGTGTCAATGCGTCCTTGTTTGTTCTTCTTGAGGGGCGAACTGGCTCGGGCTCTTCCTTGTCTGGAGCTGTGCGGAGCTGCTGCTGAACATCCCCATGTACTGCATGCTCCTGGTCCACGGCAACGTGTGCGGCGGCTACGTGTACGGCATCACCAGCGTCACCATGATGTCCGGGAGCCCGCCGCGGTCGGCGCTGATGCATTGCAGGCGGTCGGACTACGCGGCACTGATCGCGGGGCCCGCCTGGCTGGCGCTCAAGCTGTACATGTGCTGGGCTGTGCTCGCGCTGTGGCACAGGTACGCCTTCGGGTGGACGACCACCGACTTCCGGGCTTCCGGGTACCTCGAGCCCTTCAACCCGCTCTCCGACACCAGGGGAGGGAAAGCGCCCGACACCTCCCACCTCCACCGGGCCTTCACCGGCTCGGCCTAGGCCCAGAGGATGCGGCTTCCCGGGGCCGGAAGGCCACGCTTACTAAGATCTTGGCCGAGGGTGAGCTTGTGGAAGCCTCCCCTGGCCGCTGGCGTCGCGAAAAAAGCACGGCGTCGTGAACACACATCACGACCAGAGCTTCCGACTTCATCTTTCCGTCTTGGTTTCTGGCCGGTGGTTGCTTCTCATGGGCCTTTTGGGGGGCGACACTCCGAAGATGAAAGCATGCCGATGCCGATGCTCTTCCCTCGCTTCCGCCTTTTTTGGCCTCCTGGGGGGCCCTCGTCGCCACGGCAGGATCCGCCGCTGAGCCCTGGTCACAGCGCACCCCGAGTGAGGTCCGGGAGCAGCGGTCTTGTGATCTCCGCCCCGGAAGCGAGACGAGCCTCGCCCTTCCGAGGCCCAGGCTCAAAGCCGATTCTGTTGGGTCGCCCCTGGGGCGTCGTGGGTTGCTTCCTGTGGGTCCCTGGCGTGCAAACGAAGCTCGGCGGCGAGCTAGGGAGGAAAGTGAGAATGAGACGGCCCTCTCAGAAGGCAGCGGGGCTTGTCATAAGCCCTCTGGCCTTCTGAGAGGTTGTCTGTGTCTTCGGGGGAGGCTCAGAAAGCTTCTCAGAAGACCGGGGGACTCCCGAGCCCTCTGAGAAGGCCCGCCCCCTCTCACTTCCCCCCAGGCTCGCCGCCAAGAAGCCAGCCTTTCGACGGGGAACGTCAGCCATGCACCCACACCGAGCCTGGCCCAGGATCGGCCTGGGCAGGGTCCTGGCCCAGACGTCCGACGCCGTGGTGCTTTCACGGCGCGGCTTCCCAGAAGGCTGGACCTCTTCCAGGGTGCCTGTTTTTCGCTCCGGGTAGTTTTCGAGGTTGGCGCTCTGTTCACGGCGCGAGGAGGTCATTCCCCACATGTTTCGTGGGGTTCTGGTTTTCTTCTCTGCCGCGTCGCACCCGCGTCTCCTCCCACCACACACCTCCCTCTTCCCCTCCTCCTCTTCCTCTCCTCTCTCCACGCGCACACACACACATTCTCGGCACTTTCTCGACACCAGAGAGGGTGCGCAAAGGGGTGGTCCCTCACCGTGGTCTCTATCCGTCTCAGGGTCCCAAGGCGTGGCAGGCATGGCACTTTCTCGACACTAGAGGGGGTGCGCAGGGGTGGTCCCTCACTGCGGTCTCTATCCGTCTCAGGGTCGAACGGTGTGGCAGGCGTGGCAGTTTCTCGACGCCAGAGGGGGTGCGCAGGGGGTGGTCTCTCACCGCGTTTTCTATACGCGCCAATGTCGCAGGGCCTGGCAGGCGTGGCAGTTTCTCGACTCCAGAGGGGGTGCCCAGGGGGTGGTCTCTCACCGCGGTCTCTATACGCGCCAATGTCGCAGGGCCTAGCATGCGTGGCATTTTCTCGACGTCTCCAGGGGTGCGCAGGGGGTGGTCTCTCACCGCGGTCTCTATACGCTCCAATGTCGCAGGGCCTAGCAGGCGTGCCATTTTCGCGGCGTCAGAGGGGGGGCGCATTGTGACGGTCTCTCACCGCGGTCTCTGTACGCGCCAATGTCGCAGGGCCTAGCAAGCGTGACACTTTCTCGACGTCAGAGGGGGGGCGCAGGGGGTGGTCTCTATACGCGCCAATGTCGCAGGGCCTAATAGGCATGGCACTTTCTCGACACCAGGCGGGGTGCGCAGGGGGTGGTCTCTATATACGCGCCCATGTCGCAGGGCCTGGCAGTCGTGGCACTTTCTCGACGTCAGAGAGGGTGCACAAAGGGGTGGTCCCTCACCGCGGTCTCTATCCGTCTCAGGGTCCCGGGTCGCAAGGCGTGGCAGGCGTGGCACTCTCTCGACACCAGAAGGGGTGCGCAGGGGGTGGTCCCTCACCGTGGTCTCTATCCGTCTCTGGGTCGCAAGGTGTGGCAGGCGTGGCACTTTCTCGACACCAGAGGGGATGCGCAAAGGGGTGGTCCCTCACCGTGGCTTCTATCCGTCTCAGGGTCGCAAGGTGTGGCAGGCGTGGCACTTTCTCGACACCGTAGAGGGTGCGCAGGGGGTGGTTCCTCACCGTGGATTCTATCCGTCTCTGGGTCGCAATGTGTGGCAGGCGTGGCAGTTTCTCGACGCCAGAGGGGATGCGCAGGGGGTGGTCTCTCACCGCGTTCTCTATACGCGCCAATGTCGCAGGGCCTGGCAGGCGTGGCATTTTCTTGGCGTCAGGGGAGGTGGGGTGGCGTAGGGGGTGGTCTCTCACCGCGGTCTCTAGACGCGCCAATGTCGCAGGGCCTGGCAGGTGTGGCAATTTCTCGACGCCAGAGGGGGTGCGCAGGGGGTGGTCTCCCACCGCGGTCTCTATACGCGCCAATGTCGCAGGGCCTAGCATGCGTGGCCGTTTCTCGACGCCGGAGGGGGTGCGCAGGGGGAGGTGGTGGTGGTGGTACCTCACCGTGGTCTCTATACGCGCTAGTGTCGCAGGGCCTAGCAGGCGTGGCACTTTCTCGACGTCTCCAGGGGTGCGCAGGGGGTGGTCTCTCACCAGGCGTTGAATTTTCTCGGCGTCAGAGGGGGGGGGAACAGGGGGTGGTCTCTCACTGCTGTTTCTACACGCGCCAATGTCGCAGGGCTTAGCAGGCGTGGCGCTTTCTCCACGCCAGAGGGGGGGCGCAGGGGGTGGTCTCCCACCGCGTTCTCTAGACGCGCCAATGTCGCAGGGCCTAGCAGGCGTGGCACTTTCTCGACGCCCGAAAGGGGGTGCGCAGGGGGTGGTCTTTCACCGCGTTCTCTAGACGCCAATGTCGCAGGGCCTAGCAGGCGTGGCAGTTTCACGACGCCAGAGGGGGTGCGCAGGGGGTGGTCTCTCACCGCGTTCTCTATACGCGCCAATGTCGCAGGGCCTGGCAGGCGTGGCACGTTCTCGATGTCAGAGGGGGGGGCGAAGGAGGTGGTCTCCCACCGCGGCCTCTATACGCGCCGGTGTCGCAGGGTCTAGCAGGCGTGGCAGTTTCTCGACGCCAGAGGGGGTGCGCAGGGGGTGGTCTCTCACCGCCGTCTCTATACGCGCCAATGTCGCAGGGCCTAGCAGGCGTGGCAGTTTCTCGACGCCAGAGGGGGCGGTCTCTATACGCGCCAAATGCCGCAGGGCCTAGTAGGCGTTCGACGCCAGAAGGGGGTGCGCAGGGGGTGGTCTCTCACCGCGTTCTCTAGACGCGCCAATGTCGCAGGGCCTAGCAGGCGTGGCACTTGCTCGACGTCAGAGGGGGGGCGCAAGGAGTGGTCTCCCACCGCGGTCTCTATACGCGCCAATGTCGCAGGGTCTAGCAGGCGTGGCACTTTCTCGGCGCCAGAGGGGGTGCGCAGGAGGTGGTCTCCCACCGCGGACGCTATGCGCGCGTCTAATCCAGGGCATATAGCTGGCGTGGCAGTTTCTCGACACCATAGAGGGTGCCCCGGGGTGGTGTCTCACCGCGGCCACTACGCACGCTTCTCGTCCAGGCACCGAAGGCGTGGCACTTTCTCGACACCATCAGGTGTGCGCAGGGGGTGGTCTCTGAGCGCTGTCTCTATGCGGTCCAGGCTCGGAATGTGTGGCAGGGGTGGCAGTTTTTTGACACCAGGGTGCGCAGGGGGTGGTCTCTGAGCGCGGTCTCTATACGGTCCAGGCTCGGAAAGTGTGGCAGGGCTGACAGTTTCTCGACACCAGAGGGAGTGCGCAGGGGGTGGTCCCTGGGCGCGGTCTTTACACGGTCCAGGCTCGGAAAATGTAGCAGGGGGTGGCAGTTTCTCGACGCGGTCCCTAAGCTAGGTCTCTTAGGAGCGGCAGTTTCTCGACGCCTTCAGGGCACTCCCGTCCCAAGGCTTGACCGGCGTCACCAAAAGTATCGGCGTGGGAACGGCCACCAGCATCATTTTTGCATGTTTGATTTCAGCTGTCATCACCCCAGACAATGTATGAGTATGTGGGTTTCCTCGGCAGCGTAATATGGTAGTACTTGTCTGGCACCCTGACGGAACCTTGACCTCCTCGACAAATAGCTGGCCGTCCTCATCTTGTTAGGCCCGGGGGGTTCTCCTTCCCCTTCCAGGACAAGCTCACGCGCGCGCTCGCGGGGCTGCCCAGCGCGGAGGAGCCCGGCGGAGGAGGGGAGGGGGAGGAGGAGCAGGAGTGGGAGGATGAAGGGGAAGACGAGGAGGAGTTGGATGATGAGGAGGAGGCAGATGAGAAGGAGATGGGGAGGAAGAGGAGGAGGAGGAGGTGGAGGAGAAGGAATGACGGAATGAAGGAAAGAAGGAGGAATTGAGCGAGGGAGGAAGGGAGGAAATACGGAAGGGAGGAGTGGAGGAAGGGAGACGGATGGGAGGAAGGTGACAGTAATGCTGATGATGCGGAGGATGACGAGGACGATAATGAGAAGGTGGTAGTGATGATGTTGATGATGGTGATGCTGATGATGCTGATGGTGATGGTGATGTTGATGGTGATGATGATACTGATGATGCTGCTGCTGATGATGATCATGATGAATGATGATGGGGATGGGAATGATGATGACGATACTGGTGGTGATGATTATGCTGATTATAATGATGATTATGATGATGCTGCTGCTGCCGATGCTGCTGCTGCTGCCGACGATGATGCTGATGATGGTGGTGATGATGCTGCTGCTGATGATGATGATGATGATGATAGTGGTGGTGGTGATGATGATACGGCTGCTGCTACTGTTGATGATGATGGTGATGATGATGATGTTGCTGATGATGATGATGATGATGATGATGATGATGATGATGATGATGATTATGATGATGATGATGATGATGATGATGATGATGATGATGATGATGATGATGATGATGATGATGATGATGATGATAAGTACGGTGATGATGGTGGTGGTGGTGATGATTCTGGCGATTATACTTATGAGGCTGCTGCTGTTCATGATGATGCTGCTGATGATGCTGATGATGCTGCTGCTGATGAGGATGTTGTCGATGATGATGATGATGATGATGAT